CGGGCTTGCCGCCCTCCCCCCGGCGCTCCGGCCGGTCGGGGAGAGCGGGGGGGCGGGCGCGGCGGGAGGCTTTTTTGCCTGGGGTGGCAAAAAAGCCAGAGCCGGCCCTGAGGCAGACCCACTACAGGCAATCATTATTATTAAGAAGGTTACAAAATGCAGGCCAGCTATAATACCTGAGTTTGCTGATAGATGTCATCTCACATCACCCTCCACCAGGGAATCCTGTCTAGAGATGGTTGGGAACTTTTCAACTAAATGATTTTTCATGGGAAAATGCTGTCGAGACCAAAACTTTTTGCAGAAAGGTATCCATTTCAACATGAGTTTTGTCAGGAAGGTTTCTCATATCCAGCATGGAATTAATGGTAAAACCAGAGAAAGAAGGGAAAAGACTTTCAGAATAGCCAAGAGCCTGGTAGTTAGGGAACTCTGCTTGGATGTTAGAGACAGGGCCGGTGCTACCATTAAAGCAAACTAGGTGGTTGCCTAGGGTGCCAAGATTTGGGGGCGCCAAAAAGCGGTGCCCCCAATTTTTTTTTTACAGCGTTCCTGGGCTGGGCTGCCAGCGGCGCACTGACACGTGCGGCTCAGACTCCCTCTCCCAGCGCAGCAGCCGCTCCACTTCTCCCGCCTCCCAAGCTTGCGGTGCCAATCAGCTGTTTGGCGCCGCAAGCCTGGGCGGGGAGGAGAATTAGAGTGGGGCAGCATGCTCAGGGAGGAGGCGGAGCAGAGGGGGGGGGGGGTGGGGAGCTGCCACGGGGCGGGGGGGGCGGGGCGCAAGGTGGAAGTTTTGCCTAGGTCGCGAAACTTCCTTGCACTGGCCCTGGTTAGAGATCCAGCTACAGGACCGTGCTCTCACTACTCCAGACCAGGGTTTTGAACATGGCTCTCCCACACTCCAGCTGCTCTAACCACTGGGATTCTGGGGCTCTCTCTTTTCTTATTTCATGAAAAAAATTGAAATGTCTTGGATTTGGTCCACATCAGAACAGAAACAAATGCTGAAACCTCAATTTTTTCAGGAATTGGAATTTTTGTATTGCAGCCAGCCCTAGTTGGAATCCTGCACCAATTGGAATAGCCCCTTTCATTGGCAGCACTGACCCAGGAGGGGAATGAGGCCATCAAAGCTTCTACCAGCCCAAAATTTGGTGCTATCAAGTCTTCTAAGGACTCGTCCTAGTGAACAAAATTACATGGTGCATTGTATTTTCATTGGGTGCTGTTGGGTACTGAGCACTTCTGAAAATCCAGCCCCAGTGTCTACATCAAGTAGACCTTTTGAGCCCAAATGAAGCCCCATCCAAAGCCCTCCGATGTCAATAGAAGGACTCCCATTGACTTCAATGGCCATTGGAGCAGGCCTGTGGTTCTTCTATCCCATTTAGGCCAGAATTAGCGAGTGGTCTTGTTCTATGATAATGGTTTTGTTCACAGCACAATAAGTAGGCCTGACCTACTTCTGTTATCCAGATTCTCTGCTTTTTGCATCATGTTTCTAGTCTCTCCTTGAGACCAAATTTGCAAGCATCGAATAAAATCATCCCATGTGGCATGCCTAAGCACTGCACCTGCATGTGTATTTATAACACAGAGGGATCCTCCTCCAAGATACACCAAAAAGAATATGGTAACAAGATGTGTAGCAGACAAGCTGGAACCAGGACAGAATAGATCTGAACCACATCTGGAGTGAGGCTAGGTACATTTTATATTCCTGGCACTAACGTCAATAAAGCAAACTCAGTTTAAAGGATGTTGTCCATTCTGGCAATACAATGTCAATGGTCTCAAAACACTGTAAGAGGCCATGATGCTGCGGCATCTTTTTTTCACGTGCAGATGTTCTCAGGCATCCAGTATGAGAAAGAAGCAGCAGAAAGCAAGGCTCTGGAAGCAACCGCTATATGGGGGCATCACACAATTGTGTTCACTAACACATGGACCCTTAGAAGATTTGATGGGCCAAACATTTGGGCTGGGAGAAGACTTGAGGGCCCTAAGCCACCCTGTAATCATTGCAGTCCATATACAGAGCAATGCCAGTTGGCTCAGGGCTGCCTGGTGGAGAATGAACTGGGATGGCTTGTGCTAACACAGGTAATACATCTAACCCAATGGTGTCACTAATTTTAAAGCCAGAAGCAACCACGATCATTTAGTCTGACAACCTGCATAACACAGGCCAGAGAATTCCACCCAACAATTTCTGCATCAAGTCCACATCTTGTGGTTGACCTAGAGCATGCTTTTTAGAAAGACATCCAATTTTGATTTAAACACTTGATTTGTAGCCTTCTGAATAACAGAGACTGCCCATATTGATTCTCCATAGACTGCTGTTAACAAGGAAAAAAACAAACTGAATTACAATTAGGAGAACAATTTTGCTAACCACTGACTATATTTTCAAACAATGTGTTTTAACTGGCTGTAATTATAAGTCACACACCGAGTAAGAATGATGGGAACTCTTTCACGAGTTGAAATCCATGCAATCAGAGCACCATGGTTTACCACATAACATCTACCATCAACGTCAGCAACCTCTGACTCTTTGGCCAACAGGGGTGGGAGTTGAGTATATGGACGAGAGGAGGCAGAAAACACTCTGGGAACAGTCACATACCACAGTGGGAAACACCCTTGAGTTAAATTTGTTTGTTTACTATGATCCATTCAGTTGCCAAGTATATGCAATATAGGCGCAGAGGTAATCCAAGCAAAGCTTGGACAGGAACCAATGCTAATTTCAAGAGCTAAATCTCTTATTAATTCTCTAATCTGCATGTTTTGAAGAGCCAGACTCATGCACCTCTTTTCCAAGATGCATTTGTGAAATTCATTCAATGTCCAGCAGGATGTAGCTAAATTAATTTTCTCCTCCTTTTTTTTTTATAAAGGGTTCTAGAAAATGTCCATGTCTGAAATGTTCACTATCCACAAGAGTGATTCCTCTGGTGGTGGAGTGTTATCTTGCTGACTCCATATTGAATCCTAGTTCATAGCTTGGCATTTACCTAACATCTGTGGCATCCCAGTGCATTTGTATTAAAGCCAGTTAGAGCTGCTTACTGCAATGGCAGAAGAGACAAACTTGGGACCAAATTTCTGCATTCTCTGCATTGGGCATGGCAGAAAGTTTGTGTATTAGATTGGGATAATCCCCTGGTAGGTGTATGTAGTGTTTTAAGAGACGACTAAGAGGGGATATGATAGAGGCCTATACAATCATGACTGGTGTGGAGAAAGTAAATAAGGAAGTGTTATTTACTCCTTCTCATAACACCAGATCTAGGGATTACCAAATGAAATTAATAGGCAGCAGGTTTAAAACAAACAAAAGGAAGTATTTTTTCACACAAAGCACAGTCAACCTGTGGAACTCCTTGCCAGAGGTGTGAAGGCCAACACTATAACAGGGTTCAAAAAAGAACTGGGTAAGTTGATGGAGGATAGGTCCATCAATGGCTATTAGCCAGGATGGGCAGGAATGGTGTCCCTAGCCTCTGTTTGCCAGAGGCTGGGAATGGGCAACAGGGGATGGATCACTTGATGGTTACCTGTTCTGTTCATTCCCTCTGGGGCACCTGGCATTGGCTACTGTTGGAAGACAGGATGCTGGGCTAGATGGACCTTTGGTCTGACCCAGTATGGCCATTCTTATGTTCTTCATCGTAAACTTCCTTTAAGTAAGGTAGCAACTGAGATGGAGAGACTTAGGGGCATGGTTGCTCTGAGTCAGCAAAATAGCACAACTGTCTGCCTGGCTGAATGCTTTCTCTGCCCTCTTTGCTATGTGTGACGGTAAGATACTGTGAGGTTCCTTCTTTGCTTGGATGTTACCGCTGAGCAGGAAGGACAGATAGGATTGTTCCGTGCGGCAGGTGATCACACAGTCGCTTATGGCGAAAGAGTTGCTAGATAAAATAAGGGAGAAGCAGGAGTCTCCAAAGGAACTTTTACGGTCAAGGTAATTGCTAACGCCAAAAGGACAAGACCATTTTCTTTTAAACATTGGGTCTCCTGTTCCCCTCTGTGTGTTGGGGAGAGGTTGCCGCCATGGAGAAGGGGAGTTTTGCCCATGTGACATGCTCCCTTCATCCCAGAAGTCTCTCTGCAGAGGTGGAGCAGGTAGAAAGGGGCAGTGATCAAATGCCTGCAAGTCTCTGCTAGAGTCTTCCCAACCTGTCTCACGAAGTTCCTGGAGCCAGAGGACCTGTATTTTTCTTCCACATTGTGAAACCCCCTTTAGAACTGCCTTTGAAGCCTAGCTCCTGCATTCGGTACTGTCCAGGGATATGTAGGAACCAGGCAGCAAAGAGTAGGCAAGGGGAATTGGAATGAAAACCTCCTGCAGCCCCTGGGACCCATGTGTATCTTGGAGGATCTGTGGATGAATGGAGTGCAGCTTCTTCCTGGGCTATGGGATTCAGACCAGGGCAGAATTCAAAGGGAACTCTGTGAATTATGTTTCCCAAGCTTCTCTCTCTCCTACAGTGATTATCCTGGCTTGGAGGTAGGATGGTACCCGGCATTTCTTACAATGCTGGCCTTAAAAGTAATACAGTTCCATTAAAATTAATATGGTTTGGATCTTATTAATTCCGCTCTCTATGCAAGGAAATGGGAATTTGCTATTGACTGAAAATCATATGTCAGAAAAAAGCCAAACATCTAACTCATGAGACAATAAGAAAGCAGCTCACAGCAGAATTATGAGAACTGGTCTGGTATTCTAGTGACCAGTCACTACTCAATCATGCCTATAGTGAGAGTCATGTAGGGCCAGATTTTCACAAAAGCTCAGCTCTCAGTTAGGCACCTAAGTAACGGGGCCAACTTTTCCAAAGCAGCTCCCTTTGAGGATAATGACGGGCGCTGAACCGTCTTGAAAACCTGTCCCCTCCTTTAGCTACATACCTAAATGGAAGCTGAGCCCTTTTGAAAATCTGTCTCCGCTTGGGGGTTCTGAGCACTTTTGAGAACGTCAGGGTAAGTGAAGCATGCAAATGTCATGAAAGGCCCCATAGAGTCTATGCATTACCCTACAGTCATTAATCACTTGACCGCTTGCTTTTACTTATGCAGAACCCCTGCTTGGTTCAACATGCAGGCTGGAGTGTGTGCGGAGAGCGAGGCAGGATGCACCAACTTATTTTTAAACAACTTACTAAGGCCGAAGAGGACAGCAGCACACACAGCAAAATTGCTGCTGTCACTTCACGATATAAAATCATTTATTTCCCCGATGAAAATTAAATTGATATTCTATCTATCCATCACATTGATTAATTGTACCATACTATATTTTATTACATTATTTTTTAATCTTCACTGAATACTACCCCCCCCTCCAGACTGTGGGCTGGATCTATTCCTGGGTGTTAGATCTGCATAGCACCAGGGAAGTCAATAAAGCTATGCTGCTTTGCATTACCTGAGGGCCTCACCCACTGTCTGACCTGCACACTGAATTCATTCCCGTGCAGCTGCTCCCCACAGAGCACAGAGGTTGTCATGCTTCTCCTGGAAGCCCTTGCTCACTCCCAGTCAGATGCCTCAACGGAGGCAGTGCACAACCTGAGTTAAGGCATCCGGCGGGGAGCAAGCAAGGGCTTCTGGGAGCAGCAGGCTACATACAGCCCTCTGTGTGCTGAGGGGAGCAGGTGCTGCTGTTGTCTGTGGGCTGCTGAGTATGAAGGCAACCAGGACAAGAGAAGTCCTGTTGCTGGGATCCCAGCGGAAAGGGCGCTAGGGAAAAGGGTCTGTGGGAAAGCCAGGGTGGTAAGTAGCTCTGGAGTGGAGAGCATAGAGGCTGGAGCTGGAACCTGGGATACAGGGAGGGACAGGGTCCCTCAACGCCTCAGCTGTGCCACCCGAAGGTGAGGAGGGAAAACTCTTCACTCCAGGGGTGGAGGGGCTGGCTTGAACCCCAGCAGCAATGGGGCGAAAGGACAAATTTTGTTTAAGACTTCTTAGTCCCTGGTAGCACCTTGTGTTTTGACCGGCCTGTGGAAGCCTTAGTGACACTACAGCACACATGCTTCCAGCTGCCAGAGAGATACATACACCTGCTCACAGTGGGACTGATGTGACAGGCAGGCCTTGTTCTGGCTCTCTGCACATGGGTGGTTTCACCCTGACGGAGGCAGGGGCCCTGACTCTGGCCCCAAGTTTGCAGAGTGGTTTGAGTTACTTTAGAATAAAAAAAAGCTCTATTATACAGGCAAGCTACTGCAGTAAAAGTGAAACAAGGTAACCATCTTGGGCCTGATGCAACTCCCATTCATTCAAGTTTCCTTGACTTAAACAGCAGTTGGACTGGTCCCTTGGATTGATATCCCCGGACGTTTCTTTGAACTCCCTGAAAACGACAGGGCTTGAGTTTGCAGCATTTAACCGAAATGTTTGGTTTGCTTTAGTGTTATTCCTCTCTCTCACCACAGGGATAAAATTATGGTGCTACAGCTGGCATATGTTCTGCAGTGACTAAAATGTGCCAATCTGATGGTACATTGATTTAAAGCACAACCTCGCAGGATACTGAGCATTCTCAATAGGCGCTCAGCACCTCACGGGCCCAAGCCTCCGTTCCATTATTATTATTTATTTGTATTACCCTAGCGCCTAGGAACCCAGCCATGGTCCAGGACTCTTCTGTGCGAGGTGCTATACAAACAGAACACAAAGACAGGGCCTGCTCCAAAGACCTTACAATCTAAGTAGACTCATAGAAT